CTAGAAATTTTACTTGAGTCTTCCATGTCTTAAACATTTTCAATCTTTCCTCTAGTCTCTTGAACATATGCACCACAGTCATAATAATTGTTTTAATGTTCTTGTCTACTAATTCTATCATTTGTGCCATTTCTGTGTCCATTTTGATTGAATTGCTTTTCTCTTCATTAGAGTTGTAACTTCCAGCTTCTTTGAATGTCTGGTAATTTTTTATTAGATGGAAGATGTGAATTTTATAGATTTATGGATATTTTTATAGATTTATTCTGGGATGCAGTCAAGTTACTTAAATACCATTTGGTCCTTTTGTGTCTTGTTTTTAAGCTTTGTTTGGTGGGACTAAAGCTGAATTTAGTCTAGTTAATTTCCCCTTGCCCTCCAATACTGTGGCAAGACCCTTCTTAGTACTTCAACAAGTGCCCCATAAATTATGAGATTTTTCCACTCTAGCTGTTAGAAATGAGGCACTATCCCTGGCCCTATATGAGCTCCAGACACCTTTAGATTGATTATTTCCCCAGCCTCAGGTAGTTTCCTCACATGCATGTGCTGATCACTGTTTGACCTGAATACTCAAGGGGGACTTTCTGCAGATCTCTGGAGTTTTGTCTTTGGGGATCTCTCTTCTCCTGTACTCTGCTCTGTGAACTTGAGGTGCCTTGACTTCCCTGGGTTCCTAGTTCCATTTTATCAACTTAGGGAAACCACTGGAATCTGCCTGGGTTCCCCCTCCCTGCACTGTCTGGAAGGAAGCTTGGACAACCACAGAATTCATCCTCATTTGTGTCCCATCTCTCAGGGATCACTGTTCTTCTTTGACTGATGTCCAATGTCTTGAGAGCCATTGTTTTTTAGTTATTTCAAGTTGGAAGGTAAATTCAGTCCCTGTTACTTACTTGGCTTGAACCAAATGTCTCCTCTGAGTCAATTTTGATCATTTATATTTTTCTAGATATTGTTCATGCTATTTGCTCCTAATTTTTTTTTTTTTTTTTTTTTTTTGGTGAGGAAGATCAGCCCTGAGCTAACATCCGAGGCCAATCCTCCTCTTTTTGCTGAGGAAGATTGGCCCTGGGCTAACATCTGTGTCCATATTCCTCTACTTTATATGGGACGCCGCCACAGCATGGCTTGACAAGCAGTGCATTGGTGCACACCCGGGATCTGAACCCACGAACCCTGGACTGCCAAAGCAGAGTGTGTGCACCCAACTATGCCACCGGGCCAGCCCCTGACAATATTTTTAATCATGACTATACCTGTTATTATATTCCTCTATCTTAAATTCCCAGTAGTATTTATCATCTTTCCTTTTTTTCTCTTTCATTTCAATCACTGGAGATTAGTCTGGTTTTTTTTTCTTTTCAAAGAACCAGGTTTTGGTTTCATTGATGTTTTCTATTTCCTTCTTTTCTATTTTATTAATTTCTCTGGTTATCTGATATTTTCTGCTTTTTTTCCCTTTTTCTTCCTGAGTTAGATATTTAGCCCATTCATGTTCTAGATGATTTTTTCCAAGTGAGTCTCACTTATTTATTTTGAATACTGTAAAGTTCCCTCTAAGGATGTTTTAGGTTGCATCCCTCAATTAGTGTTTTGTAGTATTTTCACTTTATTTCATTTTAAATATTTTCTAATTTCCACTATAATTTCTTATTTGATGTATGAGTTACTTAGAATTTTTTAATTCCCAGAGGTATGGGTGAGTTGGGTTATCACTCTTTTTCTTAATGTATTTGCAACAGAAAATGTTGTCCATATATATAATCAATTTTTTGGTATTTGTTGAGACTTGATTTATGGACTACTACATGGTAGTGTTATAGAAGTCTATGTGTGTCCTTTAAATCAAGCTTATTAATTGTGTTCAAACCTATATATTTCTTGTCTCCTTGATCTATCAATTACCAAAAGAAATGCGTTAAAATTTCCTATTACTGTGGATTGTCAGTGTCTTATAATTTTATTGTTTGCTTTATATATGTTTATCTTTTAATTGAATTTTTTTAGATAATTGTAGCTTCACATGCACCTGTAAGAAATAGTACAGAGAGATCCCTGTACATTTTGCCCAGTTTTCCCCAATGGTAACATTTTGCATAACTGTAATATAATATCAAAACCAGGATATTGACATTGATACAATCCAGGAATCTTGTTCTATATAATTTTATCACCTAAATTCATATATCCACCATCACAGCCAAGGTACTGAACACTTCAGACAGCACAGAGGTCCCTCGTGGTGCCCTTTTATAATGACACCCATCTCCCTCCCACTCCCTCCCCTACCCCTAACCCCTGGCAACCACCAATCTGTCCTCCATTTCTAAAATTTGGTCATAGAAATAGAATCATATGTATGTACCTTTTTTGGAACTGGCTTTTTTTTTTCACTCGGCATAATTCCCTGAAGGTTCATCCAAGTTGTGTGTATCCTTTTTATTGCTGAGTAGAATTCCATGGTATAGATGTACCATAGTTCAGCCCAAAAACTGGGCTTATTCCAGTTTGGAGATCTTTTGAATAAAGTTGCTATGAACATTTGTGTAAAAGTTTTTGTGTAAGCATAAGTTTTCATTTCTCTGGGATAAACACCCAGGAGTGCATGTGCTGGGTCATATGGTGGTTGCATGTTTAGTTTCTTAAACTGCCAAACTGTTTTCTAAAGCAGCTGTGTGTTTCCCTCACAACTTTGAAGATGTTATTCTCTTCTTCCAGTTTCTGATGTTGCTGTTGAAATCCTCAGTCTGTCTGGTTATTGCTCCTTTTTTGGAAAGGCTGTCTTTCCTCTCTGGTTTATTTCTACCATTTTACCATGGTATGTTCAGCTGTAGGTTCATTTTTATTTATCTTCTCAGGACTTAGGTGTCCTGGAAATGAGGATCTGTGTCTTTGATCACTTCTGGAAAACTCCTGGTTGTTACTTTCAATATTGACTCCATTGCCTCTAGTCCCTTGCTCCGATTAGATGTGTGTTGGAGCTTCTCATCCCATCCCCTATGTCTCAGCTTCTCTTTCATGCTTTGTTAGTCTAGCTCTCTGTGCTGCATACTGGGGAATTTCTTCACAGCACGATTCCAGTTTACTAATTCTCATGTCAGCTGGTTTATTCTGTTTATTAACCATTTGTTCAGTTTATTTCAGCGCTTATATTTTTCACATCTAGAAGTTGCATTTGGTTCTCTTTAGTTTTTATAATATCTTGCTCTTACAGTTCTGATGCCTAGTTTTATATTTGTTTGATTTTCATCACACTTATTTCCTGGCTGTTTAGATTGTTCTCTAGCCCAGGCTCGTGGTTGTGCTGGGCTGCAGTCCTGTTGTTTCTGTCTGCCGACTCTAACAAGACTGTTTCTCGTGTGTTTTGTAATTTTAGGTGGTGAGCTCTTCTTCAGGTTTTGTTTTGTTTTCTGAAAGAATTCTGTGTGAAAAGAATTGAGAGTGTCCCCAGAGAGTGGTTTTGTGTTTGCATCTGCCATTTGCCCCAGGAATATCACAAGCCTAGCATTTTGTACAGAATTTTTGGCTTGGCAGTGCCCAGGTAAATCCAGACTTCGTCTAAGTGAGAGGTGCGGCCGTGCGTTTTGGGTTCTCACAAGAGAGTTCTTTTATCCATGCATATTTCCTTGTTACCTTCCTTCGATGGTCAGTAGTTCCTGCTTGGTTGGTTAGGAGTTCTTCAGTCCCTCTCCCCACCCCTCACCCTGGTGCAGCCCTCTGAAAGTCCTCCCTCCATGCAGTGGGCTCCATTACAGCTCTCCTCTCTTGTGCCCAAGGCCTGTCTCCTGCCCACACGTTTTCAAGTACCTTTTCCCTTCAGCTGCTGCAGCATCCGCTCTTACACACGCTACTCTTCATTTCTGATGCGTGGGGACTCTTCTTTCTGTCTTACTATTCCACCATGCAGTAAAACATTGAATTACGTTTTATCCAGCATTTCTAGGTGTTTGTGGCTGCAGAGTTTCAGTTTTCGCTTATCTGCTTCCTATATGGACCAGAAGCTAAGTTAATCTCTCTAAGCCTCAGTTTCCTCCTCTGTAAAGTAATAGCACCTCCTTCGTGGGCTCTTTGTGAGCATTTTAACGAGATAAAGCAGGTAAAATGCTTAGCAGTGGGGCCTGGCACACAGGGGGAACTCAAGAAATATGAGTATCATCATTGTTACTCTAGAAAATTTGGAAAGTTTGGAACAGCATAAAGAAAATAAATAGTGTGCTATCCACTGAAAGTCATGATTAGCACTTTAATCTATTTCTAACCCTTCTTCATATGTATATACACACATTCTTTATAAGACAAAGTAGTCTGCACATACAACCCTGCATCTGCTTTTCTCATTGGGTCAGTGTCTTAGTCAGCTCGGCTGCCATAACAAAATACCATAGAGAGAGGGGCATGAACAACAGACCTTTATTTTATGACAGCTCTGGAGGCTGGAGTCTATGATCAGGGTGCCAGCACGATTGGGTTTTGGTGAGGGCCCTCTTTCCCGATTGCAGACAGCTGCCTTCTCTCTCTGCCCTCACCCGGCAGAGAGAGAGAGAGAGTGCGCTCTCTGGTGTCTCTTCTTGTAAGGGCACTAATAACATCATGGGGACCCCACCCTCATGGCCTCATGTAAACCTAATCACCTCCCAAAGGCCCCATCTCCAAATACCATCACATTGGGGGTTAAGGTTCAATATAAGAATTGGGTGGGACACACTTCAGTCTGTCGCAATCAGACTTCTCTATTTAACAGATGCCCCTTGGCTTGGAAACCCATCTATGATCTTAGCAAGAATGAGATGAGCTTCACCTTCTTCTCCCTCAGAGTCCACCTCAGCAGTAAGGTCTTGGGGCTGAGAGCACAGTGAGGTCCAGAGAACCATGAAGTGTATGTGTTGGCATTTGAGGAATAAGCTCTGAGTGTTCTGCTGGAGGCCGGCCCCACCCAGGTGCCAGGCCTGAGTGACCCTGTCTTGCCTGCTCCCACCCCCACGTCCCTCCCCCTGCAGGTCGTCCTGATGGGACTGGAGCTTTCTCCTCCAGTCACTTTTCAGCTCCGGGCTGGCTCTGGACCCGTGTTCCTCAGTGGCCAGGAATGTTACGGTAAGTCCAAGCTTGGATCTGGGAAAAGTGGGAGAGCACAGTGTTTAGCACAGGGCCAAGGACGTAATACGTACTCAAACACTTGAGGGATTCCTGAATTATTAGAGGAAATCCCCAAAGGCAGCATGACTGCCAGTAGCCTGGACTGGAAGGCCAGGGCACAGGTCCCAGCTCTCCTTTACCTCCCTGCCACGTCCTCCATAGGCCATAGCTTCGTTGCCTATAACATGAGGGTGCAGATATATTTGGTTTCATCCTCAAACAGTAGTCGTGAGGAATAAATGAGATGTTCAGGAAAAACAGTTAACATAATGCCTAGTACTAGCACGCACTTAAAATGTTAGGTGCTATGAAGGATGGAGTTGGAGTGGTAACAGGGACCCTAGTAAACCCCCGGGCTGTGGACTCTTCTAATGCCCTTTAAGTGGCCCCCTTCTCTGTCCAGTTGTGCCTCTTTTCGTCAGGGTAGTCTCCTACCCCAAAACCCTGGCAGGTTCCACTTCCCTTAGGACAAGGTCTAAATTCCTCAGCTGCTGTTTCAGGTTCCTCCCCACCCTCTCCCTCCTTCCCCTCACACACTCCACCCACCCTCACCCTGGCCCCCACTCCTTCCTGGTGTGAATCCTCCTCCTACTCAGCCAGAGCACAGCTTGCCACTTCCCCTGCCCTCCTTCTACACCCCCAACCCTCTGGAGCTGTCGCAGATCCCCCACCCCACCCCGGCCTCCACTTGGCGAGAGGCCAGAACGGGTCCCCAGGAGGTGGGCAGGTGAACACGTTCACCTCCCTGCTTGGACTGCCCCAGGGCAGCTTTTGGAGCAGACAGATGGAACGGGAGCTAGGCAGAGACCCTGTCGCTCAGAGGCCCTGCTCCCTCCTCATGCCGTCACAGACACTTCAGACCTACCCTGGGAAGAGGAGGAGGAGGCGGCGGAGGATGACGATGATGATGACGATGATGATGACGACGATGATGATGCAGATGTGCCCCTAGAGGCGGAGACCCCTGTGAAACAAGGCAAGAGGCTGGTGCCCCTGAAGCTGATGAGCATTGCCAAGGTGAGGGAAGGGACCCTCCGATGCTCCTCGGACACCTGGGCCAGGCTACCCGAGATTGCGTGCACAGGATGAGCGAGGCCCGCCTCCTGCCAGGGCCTCAGCGGGAGTCTGCTCTGGCCCTGGGCCTCGCCCTAACTCTCCCAATAATGCTTGTGTTTGGTTCCCAGAAAAAAAAAGTGGAAAAAGAAGAGGAGGCAGTGAGGTAACTCTTTCCTTCTATTAACTTAGCCAAAATCTTTTAGCTGAGGTATGTAGTGCTAGGAAGAGCAGGTGCACCTGGCGTGTGTGCACACAGGTGCGTGTAGGGGACACAGATGTGCTGCCACTGTAGGCTGGCACAGCCTTTTTGAAGAGCCTTAAACTGTTCTTATCTTCTGACTTAATTCCACTTATGGCAATTCCTTCCAAAGAATCCCAACCAAAATATGGGGAAAATTATATGTACTAAGAAACTTATCACTGGATTATTCAAATAATAGTGCAAAATGGAAGCATTCTAAGTATATACCAATATAATAGCTGATTGAACCATGTCACATCTTCTCAATGGAGTGTTACATAAAGCCTGTGAAGAATACGGCAACCTGGAAAGTGTTTATAAAATTAAAAACAACAAGAGATTAAATCATTTTCATTTTATTTCATATGTTTTGAGAAGAAAACAAACAAAAAAGTCCTGAAAAGAAATAACACCAAAATGTTAATATTGGTGGGAGGTAAAGAAAATTATGAGGAATTTATTCTCTTCTATATTTGCTATATTTTGTGCAATATGTTAAGATTACTTTTATAATGAGAAAAAAATATTTGTGTCTTATACACAAATAAAAGAAAGCAGATGGAAACTGAAGATAAAACATCTTGTTTAAAAAGAGAGAGAGTTGTCCCTGGCAGGTGACAGGTGGAGGGGTGAGTTCCGCAGCCTCCATCTCTCCAGGTCATAGCTCCCTGCTTCCCAGAAGCATCCAGGGCCCAGCTTTCCAGTGTGGGTGCGAGGAAGGCCAGGGCTGTTGGCATCGGGCTGAGCTCTCCCTCTCTTCCACCCACCCCACTCCTTGCCCAACCACCTCCCCCCCATTCCAGACCCAGTCTTCAAGAAAAGAGCCCTGTGAGAAAGGTGAGTGCTGACAACAGGGGGCTAGCCTCCTGGGGGGGGGGGGGAGGTGGTCTCTGGACAGGTGCCAGGATAGGGAGGGAGTGGGACACTGGAGCCCTCCCTTCTCTCCATAGGCCAAACCCACACTCAGACCTAAGAAGCCGGGATCCAAGAAGTGAGGAGCCATGAGCGGCCTGACCGCAGTGACTAAGCGAGGCCCTGTGAGACCGCCATGCAGAGTGGGCCTTCCTCTGGTGTGCTGTGGACCCAGGGCACCCCCCGCTTCCATCTGAGTCTGAATGTGATGGAGGTGTTGGGGGACAACACAGGAGCCCCTCACCCCACCTCTCCAGTTTCAGCAGGACCTGGAGGGAAGAGCCCCGGCCTCAGGGCCACAATAAAGTGCGCTGTGCCAGGACCTTGTTTCCGCGTCTTTTCCCAGGAGCCGTCCTTCTTGCTGGCTGCAGCGAGCCCCGTGTGCCCGGCAGAGGGCGGCCATGTGCCAGCACACCCTACCTGGTGGCCCAGCCCACCCTGGACTGAGGCTGCGGTGTCCCAGCCAGGCAGCATGTTAGGCTTTGCTCTTTATCTCCCTCTCTTCTCCTGGCAACGACCCCCTACCCAGGTTTGGGGGACAAACCAGTGTCTCAGCCCCTTACCCAGCCTCCACCTTCTGCCCTCTGGCCTGAGGGAGGAAGCTGGAGCTGGTGTGGATCTTCCTGCATCCACACTCCCTTCTGGCAGGGCCCAGTTTTCCAGGTAACCCAGGTACAGAATGGAAGGACTCCAGCTGCCCCCGCTGCCCCCAACCAGGAAGGTCCTCAACCCTGTGGACCAGCCTGAGGGTCTGCATCTATGGGGACCTCAAGGGCACAGCATGAGTCCTGCTCTCCCAGGCTGGCGTCCTGTTCAGGGTGAGCACCTGCTCACAGAGACCTCACTGGTGTGAAGCTCTGTGTCAGGCAGGAGCCCAGAGGCCTGCACCTTCAAGGAAGCCCTCCCGAGGTGAGGTGGGGAGATAAGGCAGGCTTTACAGAGGCTATGATGGCTGTCTTATGGGAGGAGGGCAGGTGAGCACTTTCCACTCCTGTCCTAGGTTCCCCCAGGGCAACTCTCAGAGCCATGGCAACAGGGCTCAGGAATTTGTGGGGGTGAGGCTGATAGAGGATCGGAAAGGGGCGAATGACCCAGGCTCTGGCCTCCTGCCCTCTCCCAGGCCTGCAGGACTTTGCAGCCAGGTTCACCCATAGGGACACACGGATGGCCCCCACTTGGGGCTATCCTTGCAGGGCCTCTGCTGGGCTTCTCCCTACCCCTCCCCTGCACCCCCACTGCCAGGCCTGAGGTGGGCCAATGGGAGCTGGCCTGCCCTCTCTCCCCAGGACCCCCAGGTGTGGGTCCCAAAAGGTTGGAGGTCTTTGAACACCTACACGGGAAGGTCGTGCGTGAGTCTCCCTGTTCGCTTCACCTTCTCTTGGTGCCAGAAGAGGTAGAGGGGGCAGGGCTGGTGTGGCTGCTTGCCTCTACACCCCGTGAGACAGATGTGTGTGTTATTCCACCTCTAAGAGATGAGAGTGAGCTGCTGACCGCAGGTCACCCAGGGAGTGACAGGGGACGTCATGTCTGGCTCCAGGTAGGCAGCTGGCATTTACCATGGCTTCACGCCACAGCAGTACAGGGTGGACAAGACAAATTCCTCACCGCCAAGTCGTCTACAGTCTAGTGGAGACACAAAAGCCAACAACAGCATTTCAATTACTGTTGAGTACTCTGGAGGAAGTAAAACGGCTAATTTCCAGGGTGGGAAAGTGCTATTTAGTTGGGAGATCTGAGAAGGTCCCGCAGAGGAGGCATTGACAAGAAAGGGGTGGTGGGCTACGTGAGGAGCTGGCAGAAGGACATTCCTAGGAGCAGGAACAGAGAGTGCAAAGGGCCTGAGACAGAACAAGCTGGGAGGTTTGGACAGAAAGAAGGCTGATATGATTGCAGTAATAACATGCTGTGAGCTGGGTGCTGCTCCAGTGCCTTCCATGGACTCCTTTAATCCTCTCAACCATGGGTTGAGGTGGGTGTTATTAGCCCCATTGCTCACATGTGCAAAGTGAGGCACACAGAGAGGTTAAACAACTTGCCCCCAAGGTGACACAGCTAGTGGAGGAGCCAGTATTCCCCTCCAGAGCCCTTGTTTTGGGAGGGAGAGATGGGCAGCACCAGAGAGCTAGGAAGTTGGGTAAACTGGGGGCAGGAGATATAATTGAGCCCACTGTGGAACTGGAGCCCCCCGAGGGGCAGCACAGAGCCTGGTTATAGCCAAACGCGTACTCCACAGGTATCTCTTCCCTCGCCAGCCCCGGGCAGTGCCTCAGTTCTCTGGCTTAGCCATGGGCTGCCCATAAGGGCACTCAACAGCTAAATCTGTGATAATTTGATTTCCATGTGCTGGCAGGCAGTAGGGATCAAACAGCAACGATCTGCTGTTTGGGGTCTGTCTGCATTGCTGGGGTGCCCTTTGCCCTTCCCCTTTCCCCCTTCCCCAGCCCTAGCCCTTGTTCTTTTTAACAGGAAAAGGGTGGGCTGGGGTCGAAGCAGGTGGTGACAAGTGGCAGGCCTGCAGGTGGGCCCTGTGGGCTGTGTCTGCACCAGCTGGGCTGTTAGGAGGAGCAGGTGTGAGACGGCCCAGCTGGGGGGTGTTGAACTTGGCACTAGGGGGTGGGGATTAACCCAGGCTACTTCACACTTCCCCTATCACCTCCTGCCACCCCCATAAATGTTAATGAACCCTACCCTTCTCCCCCTTCCCAGCTGCCTCTAGTCAAGGGAGAAAGTCAAAGTTTAGGTAAACTGAGGCTAGACCACATAAGGGGGTCTCTGCCTCCTTCCCCCGTTCTTTTGGCACTTGATACTTTTCAGGGAGTGTCCTTCATCTCAGTTGACATTCACAGTGGCAGTTTTGACAGCATCGGTAGTAGCCATTTTCTTCTTATGAATTGGGAGGTTGAGACCAGAGAATTGACGGGACTTGCCACAGGTGCACAGCCTGTGAGGGCCAGGGCCAGGGAATGGGGATAAAATTCAGAATGCAGGCCTAGGACATTCTCCATGCTGCCTCCCCAATTTGTGCTCCCCATGGGCCTTCCCATGGGGGTAAAGGAGCAAACCAGGTCAGAAAGCCAGGGCTGCAGGTGTGGAATGGGAAGGGGCAAGGAGCAGAAGATGGTACACTGGGAAACAGGCTACCCAGCCATGCCCCTGAGCCCTCTGGCACCGGCCCCGTGGCTGACCTCAAGGCCAAGCTTGACTGCTGGCATCTGTCACCATGGAGACCCAGGCTGGGCTTGGGCCTGGCCCGTGACAGCAGGCCCTTCCCCCACTGGTAGGAACCAGGCGCTTGCTCCAGCTCAGAGGCCATGAGCCCAGACAGCGCTAGGTGGAACTCCCCACACCTGCCTCTCATTGCCTTCAGTCCCCCCGCTGACCCCTCCACCCCGGAACCCCAAGCCTGAGCTGTCTCTTCCATGCCCCTCCACTCCTATCTGTGACCCCAGGATCCAGGGCAGGAGGAGGTAGCCTTTACTACCCTACCTGGGAGCTGGGGGCTGGTGGGGATGTGGGCCTGAGGTCAAAGGCTTCCCAAAGAATCAAACCAGAGCCAGCACCAATCACAGCAGAGAGGTAGATTTGGGAAAGTTTCCACAGAAGAGGAAGAGTTTAAATCGGCCCCAAATGGTGGAACGAATGTGGAGAGTGGAAATGATTAGGAGCATCAGCCTGGGCAAAAGCAGAGAGGTTCAGAGAACAGCGAGCACTGGACTGGGAGTCGGCACCTGGTACCTTGTCCCAGCCATGTCACGAACTAGCTGTGAGATCCTCTCTGAGCCTCGTCGGTGAATGGAGAGGTGCACCCGATGGGGAATCTCTAAGATCCCTTCCAGTTTTGACATTCTTTCTGTTTGATTCTAACCCTGGACTCCCGCAATTACAGGGCTGGGGCTAACACCACGTTCCCCAGGCCAGCGAAGGCTCCACTGCCCCTGCCCAGGGGGTCCTGGGGGGGCGGAGTTGGGAGCCAGGTGTTGGGCTGGACGGGATGGGGTGGGAGGGGGTGTCTCTGGAGGGGGGGAGGTGGCAGACAACTTTGTGGATTGATGTAGCTCAGGAAGGTGAGAAGGATGCCTGGAGGTGAGAGTTTCGCCCTTGCACTTATCTCTTTAGGTAAATAAATCCATATCCAGCATTTCCCCTTCTCTTCCCATCCTGGGGGCACTGAGACCTCCAGGGAGCCCAGGGCTGAGATGTGAGCTCCGCTTCCCTAGATGGGGGCTTCCCCCGGAGATGCCCCCTAAGCAGAGTCACCACCATCCACCTTCTGTAGGGAAGGAGCAGGGTGGAGTCCCTAGTCACCAGCTTCCAGGACCACGGCTCTTGCTGGGCCCCGGAGGGCGTGGACATGGTGGGAAGGCTCCAGACACAATCCATGTGGAAGAGAAAGCGCAGGGACTCTGGAACCACGGGCACGCCGTTCACCAGCCGGGTCATTCTGAGCTAATTACCTACCAACGTGCCTCAGTTTCCTTGTCTGCAGGATAGGGTAATAACCGGCCTTACAGAGAGAGTGGGACCAGAAGTCATGTGAAGAAGCTGGTGGGCACTTCATCCTAGGCAACTGCTAGGGGACGCGGGGACAGGAGAGGCCCTGAGAGGCTCTGGGATAGCTGCTGCCCTGGAGGACGGCAAGTGAGGCCCAGAACGTATTACACCTTTTGACGTCTGCTAAGTGCAGTTATCTCCCGTGATCCTGACGCATTACTGTCCAGTCTCAGAGGCAACTGCCGAGACCAGAGAAGAGGGGCTTGGCCGGTGCACCTAGCTCCTCTCTGTCTCCCTCTCAGACCAGCTTTTGAGACCCCATCAGGGTTGTTCCACAGCCCTGAGCTGCGCCTTCCTCCCCACCCCTGGCCCCCAAGCTGTTGCACCCACTATTTGCTGCCAGTCAGGACAGCCTTAACCCCTCCTTCCCAGTGGCCAGAGAGCAGATGGGGGAGCAGGGGGGACAGAGGCAGTGGAAGCAGCTGCTCCTGGCCAAGCCCACCTCCTGCCGCCTGGAGGGAGGCTCCTCCTTTTAAGGCTGCTTCTGGGAATTTCCACCCCCCACCCAGCGAGACCCAGTGACTCCAGGCCCTGACTGATACCTGCAGCTCACCCTTGGGGAGGTGGGGCGCCAAACCTGAGGGCAGGAGAAGCTGGCCCAGAGGGGAGGAGGGGCCCTCCAGCTGGTCTGTGGGGGTCGGGAAGAACTGAGATCCCAGGGGCCAGCCTCCTGATCGAGAAGGCTACAGCAGCTCCATCCTCTGTGCTTGGGTAGCCTAGCAAGAGGCTGGCAGCCCCGCCGCGGCTGTCTGCAGTCTCACTGGCCGGGAAGGTGGACACCTCACACCTCAGTCTCCCAATTACGCCCTCCTCCCCCTCCTCCTCCCCCCTCCCTTCCCTCTCCCCTCCTCCTCCTCCCCTCTCTCTCCCCTTCTCCCCCCTGAAAACCTGTGGCTTGAAGAGACCTTGGCTTCTCTGGGACTCTAACCCTGGGGACTGCCCACATCTGCTCCTGAGTTTGGGGGCAGGGAGGCAACCGCCCCAAGAACTCTCTCCGGGATGGGAGCCACCCGCCTGCTGCCCAACCTCACTCTGTAAGTGTGCTGCCTCTCGGACTAGGGTTTTGTTGCCATTTCCAGCCTCAGGGCAGACCTAATCTTACTGGGACTCCCACAAGGATGGTGGGGTGGGCCACCGGGAGTGTGGGCAGGGGCGGCGCCTGGGTGTGCCTGGGGCTGGCTGCTGGCACCCATACCTGGGTCTGCCTATTCTCCCCACACAGGTGCTTGCAGCTTCTGATTCTCTGCTGTCAAACTCAGGTAGGCGAGGGGCCCCCACTTGCTTTTCCCCATCTCTCCCACCCCACCCAACAGGGATGGTGGGCAGGAGGAGTCTCCTTTTGGTGGAGAGAGGCAGGTTCTGGCCTTGCCCTGGGTCTAGAAGGCTCTGAGGTTTGGGGGGGGGGGCGGTCAGTCTTTGAAGGGGCAGTAGGAGAAGGGGCCGTGGCAGATTTGGGGATTGAGGTTTTTACCTGTCTTCCCTCTGACCACCCTCCCTACTTCCCCTGGGGTCTCTGCTTCTCTCTCCATCCCTCCACACTGGGTTCCCCCCAAGGCTTAGTGCAGGGGGTAGCCCAGGTTTGAGGGACGGAGCCCGGGAGTTGTTGGAAGGGCGGACAGAGGTGATGGCTCAGGTGAGGCTTGTACTTGCAAGTACCTGAAAGGACAGGTTTCCATACAAAACCACTGTGTGTTCCACTCACCGCCCCACTCCCACCAACAGGATGTCCTGAGGGTCGCTGTCCTGGGCGTTTGTGGGGGCAGTCAGAATGCCCAGCCAGGGCAGGGTGATTCCTTCCCTACAGGGCAATGAGGTCAAGCCCAAAGAGGTTCGTTTGGGACAAGGTTCAGGGTTTGCTTCTCCGCCCCAAGTCAGCCTCCCCCATGCACACCTCCCCCAGGCCTCAGCCCCCTGTGCAGGGCTTGGTCCCTTTTTGTGATCCTCCATAAAAGTGCAGCTATTAAAATGCACTGGTCCAGAACCGCTCTGGGGAGAGATCGCCTGGCTTTCCCAGGCTGGAGGCCCGCTTCTCTTCATATCCAGTGAGGACTTTTTTTGAAGGTAAATGCCTTTTCTCTGGGAGAGGGAAAGAGGCTGCCTTTGAAGCAGTGGGGGGGTGGGAGAGAGAGAGACAACCCCCCCTTTTCTTCCCCCTTTTGCTCCAGCCCCCGTTCCAGGCCTTTTGCTTCACACATACAGGGAGAGCAAGAAGAAAGCCCCCAGCCTGGCCAGGAGGGGGCTGGGGGTGGGCCCAACCTGTTCTGGAAGGGGAATTAGCACAATGGTGCTGCTGGCCAGGGCGTTTATGGCCTGGCTGAGGCCCCATTCAGGACTTGGGGAAGGTGGCAAAGCTGTCCTTTCCCCTTGAAGTGCCCCCTCGCCCCCTTGGAGGGGGGGCCAGCAGGCCGGACCACAGCCATGCTTGAGGGGCCGTCTGACAAGCAGCTGTCTGCGGCAGTGGAAGGGGAGGTCCCCCTGCAGCGGTAACATGAAAGGGACAGGCAAGGTCCCGTGGGGAGAGCGACTTGTGGGCTGTGGGCTGTGGGGGCGTGGGGCTGCTTTTGTGCAGGGCTCGAGGGGGGACAGCGAGGAGGGGCTTCGGGGAGCCGTCTCTGCTCTGACCTGGAACAGACAGCCAGAGGAGGCTGCCGGCCAGGAGGGGCGGAGGGCCTGAACCTGGGCCAGGAGGCTCTGGGCTAGGGACAGGCCAGACCCCACCCCCTGGCAGGGAGGCAGGTCCCCCACCCCACATACTGGCCTCAGGTTTTTCCAGGGTGGGGTGTAGGGTGGTCATTGCTGCTCTGAGTCCCACAGACCCTACTCTCGTAGGCTGGGAGTAAGGCCTGGCAACACTCCTGGCCTGTGGATGAGCTCGAGTTGGAAATGAGCAGTGACACACAGGAAGGGTTAATGCCGAGCAGGTTACATTGGAAGCCTGGAGCCGCTCCCTCACCTCCCCCTTCCTCGGAGGTGACACTTCCCACCCTCCCTCCAGGAGAGAGTGGCCCCTAACAGATGCTGCTCTGGGTCTAGCGCTGTTCCAGATGGTTGCGATTGCGCCTGGGATATAAAGGTGGGCTTAGGGATTTGGGGCAGGGAAAAGCTGTCCCAGCACAGGCCAGCAGGATCCAGGTAGATAGAGAAACGTTTAGTGCTAGAACTGAGGCTGTCACCAGCAGCTGGGAAATGTCATCCCTGTTTGCACCTTGCTAGAGAGAGAGGGCAGGAAGTGGTCTGTTTCTCTCCCACTCAGTGTTGTGGACGGTAAGGAGAGGCCTGGCCTGGAGCAGGTACTTGTCCTGGCTTTGTGTGGTACATGGGTAGAAACGGCCCTCTCCACTCCGGGGGAAGCAGGCGGCAGTGGCATCGCCCCTGCCTGGCCACGAGCCTCTGTTGCACTTTGGCACAGGCAGGTGGCCTTGTGGGAGCAGCCAGCGGGCCACCACTGATAGCGCCTCTCGCTGCTGCCTCCGCCTCCCTCCACTAAGGAGGAGCGTCCCCCCTGGAGGGGGGAGGGACACCAGATGGGGGGCTGGCTTCTCTGAGAGCCCTGAGCACCCAGGGGGAGAGGCATGGGAGAGGGGCATAAGCTCAGGATTCCACGGTGAACGCTGTGAAGTAATGCTGACGGGGCCCTGCAGGAGCCTAAAGAGAAGGGTCTTAGGGCCCCCATAATGCTCTCCAGTGACCCTAACAGACCAGCTCCTGTGTGTGCATGTGTGTGGGTAGCACATGTGCTGGGGGTGGGGTCTTTCAAGGCCAGTGGGGAGAATTGAGGAGAAATCTGGCTGTCCTGGCCAGTGGAGCCAAGACCATGGAGTCGTGCGGGGCCGACAAGCCCTGGTCCTAGAGGCAGGACAGGGCTTCCGTCTCTAATTAGCTGTGTCACCCTGTGCACCTCCTGCATTGGATACCATAACGTTGAAGGCCCTTTCCAGCTCCCAAGGTCATGATTCCAGGCCTGTGCTGTGTCACCAAGTGTCCCCCAAGCCCAGGCAGCAACCAGTCCTCTGCTTCAGGGTAGACAGGGAGCCAAGAGGTCATGACTGGCTCCTCACTGGCCTAGGAAGGTCATGGCCATATGCCTCCTGCACTGTGCACCTCTACTTCACAAGACAAATGGCCTGCCCCCACCACACTCACCTCCGCCCCCCTCCCCTGGATGGACTGGCGGTGGTGTCACCCAAACAAATTGACACTATTTTTCCCTTGGTAACCGCAAAGGGGGAGAGTCACCCGTCTCCTAATTTTAACCAGTACGTGAGGGACCAGGGTGCCATGACCGACCAGCTGAGCAGGCGGCAGATCCGTGAGTACCAGCTCTACAGCCGGACCAGTGGCAAACACGTGCAGGTCACCGGGCGTCGCATCTCCGCCACTGCTGAGGATGGCAACAAGTTTGGTGAGACCCAGCCCTCACCAGAGGCTACTCACACCCCTGGCTGCCTCACCTGGTCCATCCTCAGATCCTGTGTCAGGGTGGAGGCTGCAGTGGGTGCGCAGGGAGAAGCCTCTAGAAAGAGGACCCCCGAGGGCCTCCCAATGCCCCCCACCCGAGTTCAGAGGTCAGGCGGGTTGGGGGCCCTCTGCCACACTCCTGGGCTGGCAGCCCCGACAGACGGAGGTCTTTCTCCGCTCGCCCACAGCCAAGCTCATCGTGGAGACGGACACGTTTGGAAGCCGGGTGCGCATCAAGGGCGCCGAGAGCGAGAAGTACATCTGCATGAACAAGAGGGGCAAGCTCATCGGGAAGGTGAGGTCCAAAAGACATGGCGGTAGATGAAAGAGTCCGTCTCACTGGCGTGGGGCACACAGGGCCCCATCAGCATCCCACTCCCCTCCACTGGGCCCGGCCGGCACTCTGACTTCTTCTTCTCTGCCCCCACCACTCGGCCACTCTCTGGTTTCTCCATTTAAAGGAGTCCCTGAGGGTCTAGAAGCCCTCTGAGGACACTGGCTGATCCATAGGATCCTTGGCTCTGAGTTATAGGATACTTCCCCAGCATCAATGAGTAAGAATTTTAGCACCAACATCATGTTGAAGCCCCTGTGTTGAGGGCTAAGGGCTGACCAGGATTGAGAGTTGAGCATTCACACAAGGCCCGAGGCTCCCCCAGGTCAGTGGGGTCCACAGGATCCAACTAGCAAGATGCACACCAACTGCCTACTAGTATAAGCACCTACTAGTATCACCGCCTGCTAGTGTAACCACCTGCCAGTATAACTGCCTGCTAATGTAGCAGCCTACTAGAGCAACCACTCTGCAATGGGGGTCCAGTGCTCTTGCGTGGGGAGATTTCCATTTCCTTAGCCACTGGCCAAGTCTGGCTTCAGATTCTGGCTGTTCTCACCAAATATTTGCTGATCTCTGTCAAGTATCAGGCTCCTCATCTGTAAAAATGGGCATAGTGTCAAGGTCAGCTATAGAGCAAATGGGTGGCTGTGTGGCTCCTGACATAATCGGTGTTCTGTAAACGTCTGCCCCATCTTTTCATCAGAGACTGTTGCCTCCCTCCCCTCCACCCAGCAACACCATTCACCCAGACCAGGAGCCTTCTCTGTCCCACCGGCTGCTGCGTATGCACCAAACTGCATAATTACCTCGGTCTTAATGCCACATCTCAGGAAACTGAGGCTCAGCATGGCTAAATATCTTGTTCAAAGTGTAAAACTTTCAAACGACAAGCCTATATTTAAGTTCAGATTTGACCCCAAGCAAATCTTGTTCCTTTTTCCCACCTCTGCCTTTCCAACAAGGGCTCCCATCTCACCAGGCAGGAATCCCTGGGCTCACAGTCCCTGTCGCTTCCTCCTCAGTCCTATAAAATAGGCCCAAAAGGCAGATAACCAAACATGGTGGGTGGAAAACTCCCTTCCCTCCTTCCTTCCCTCCCAGCCCAGTGGGAAGAGCAAAGACTGCGTGTTCACTGAGATTGTGCTGGAGAACAACTACACGGCCTTCCAGAATGCCCGGCACGAGGGCTGGTTCATGGCCTTCACGCGGCAGGGTCGGCCGCGCCAGGCCTCCCGCAGCCGCCAGAACCAGCGAGAGGCCCACTTCATCAAGCGTCTCTACCAGGGCCAGCTGCCCTTTCCCAACCACGCAGAGAGGCAGAAGCAGTTCGAGTTTGTGGGCTCAGCCCCCACCCGCCGGACCAAGCGCACTCGGAGGCCACAGCCCGTGACATAGTCGGGGACGCCCCGGGGGCAGCGCCCCTCACCAGCCTTCCCGTCCCCTCCTCTTCCTAATCCAAAGACTTTGGGGTGGAGGGAGGGGAGCCAGAGCCCCCAGCTGGAGGGGGCAGGACTTCCGCAAACCAGAGCTGGCGCCTGGGGTGGGAGTAGGCCCCCTTGGGGCAGGCAGACCCAGGAGGGAACCGTAGGTGCCCTGAGCAGGTGGGCAGGTCCGCAGATGCCAGGCCTCCCAGACACTCTCTGGGGACGGCTCTGCTCAAATTCTCCCCCTGTCGCCCTCAGTCAGCCCGGCCTCCAGATTCCTCCCGGCCAGACTGTAGGAAGGGGCTCTCGTTTTTTGTTTCAGGAAAAAAGGAGGGAGAAAAAAAGAGGGTTGGCCATTCTTCACCTTCCACTACCCAGGCCTGCACCCCACCCCCAACTCCCAGCTCCAGAATAAAACCGTTTTCCTGCAAACGGGTTATCTGAAGGGGGTGGAGGGTCCAACCACGAAGCACCCTGGAAACAGGCTCGCTCCTCCGCGAGGCCGAGGGGCCGGGGGTGGGCAGCCTTGGCCCAGGGCTCGTTCCCCGGGGCCGGCCCGTCCCGAGGGGACGGGGGACGCGAGGCCCCGGGAGGCCCAGGCCCCTCCCTCGGCGGCTCCGGTTTCTCGGCGTCCCGCGCTACCTGTTGGGCCGAGGACACCCGAAGCCCCGGGGCCGGGCGGACCCCGGGCCTCGGGGCGGGAGCAGGAGCGCTCTGTTCCGGTGAGCAGGGTCGGGGCGGGGAGGGCTCGGACGAGCGGAAGGGGGCGTGCGGGCGGGCGCTGTCCTCCGCTGCCCGGGGCACGTCCGTGAGAGGCGGCGGCTGCCCGCGAGGGCGCGCCCTACTCCCACCCCGCCCGGCGTCTCCGGGGGCCTGTGCCTTCCGCCTCCAGGTGTGCATCTGCGGGGTGGAACTAAGGCCATAAAAGCCGCCTCGTTCCTTCTCTGCGCTGGCTCTGAATCTGGGCAAGGGGGAGGCCCTTCCTAGCAGGCCCCCCCAGTCTCGTCAGGGGAAACACCTTCACCGAGCCCTCAGCCCTTCCTTCTGTGGATGGACCCCCAGCCTCAGTTTCCCCTCCCTCTTCTTTCTGAGAATATCTTGGGAAAGGGGATTATGGAGACAGAAGAAAAAGGATGAAAGACATCCCTCTCCCCACTTCTCCCAAGAATGGCCTAAAAATAAGTTAAGAATGGGAAGCTGTGGGGGCCCCAGTCAGTCACAGTGGGAGGTGAGTGAAGCAGGAGTCCAGATGGAGAGGGGTTAAGGAGGTCACTCACCTCTCCCTTGGTGAGGACTGGAGTCCAGTCTGACACCCCCAACTCCAGGCAGTTTTGGGGGCAGCTGCCAGGAGGGAGGTCCCCTAGGCCCCAGGACATTCTCCCTCCAGCTTGTCATAATTGCTTTCCACTAGGTTGCTTTTTTCTCTCCCCTCCAATCACAAAGAGCCTTAATCCTAGTGAAGACTGCGGGAAACATGGTGGGGGTCGTGTTCTGGGGGGTGTGTAGGGAGGGTGGTCTGGAGCCACAGCTGATAACTGGTGAGTTCAATGGGATTTTAAACACAGGGGCAACGCCCAGCAATTACCTGAGAACAAAGGGTTGGGGCCCCCAGGTGTGGAGGACTGGACTTGGGGGGCTGGGGAAGGGGCTGGGAAGGAGGTGTGTTGGGGAGGGGAAGCTCTTACAATCCCTCTGATTTCCGCAAGAATTTGAGACATTCTTTAAAACTCTAGACTGCCTCCCCCGAGCTGGGCTTTCAGCCCACCCCCACCCCTCCCTGGCTCGGGTTAGAGATGGCTTCAAAGGTGGACTGGGCCCTTTGTCTAGCCTCCGCTTTCTTCTCTGCCTTTCTCCCGCCCCTCCCTCCCTCTCTATGACCTCCCCAGCACAGACAGGCCTCTGGGGGCCAGCTCCAGAAAGCCCTCACTGTTTCCTTTCTTGCTTTTTGAGGTGAGACCTGGCAGGGAGGGACAGAGAATGGGGAAGGGTGAGGGAGGAGGGCAGCTCTGGAGGCCCATGCCATCTCGGAGAGTGTACTTGCCCCACTCAAGCCTCAAGCCTGGCGGGTCTGATGCCTGCTGTGGCCTTGGTCCCTGGCTTTGCTCTCTGAATCTTCTCACCACACTTTTTAGGGCCTCTGCAGAGTCTAGGCCCCATACCCAGGGTGCCTCTTCATACTCTGGGGATGTCTGTTCGGCTCATTCCCTCAGGACTGGTGGTGATTTCAAAGATGCTAAAAGGAAGAAGCCAAAGGAATGGATCTCTAATAATGGGACCTCAGAGGGATTCAAAGTATACGTGTATGTGGTGGGAAGAAGGCTTCCCCGTTGACCTCAGAGCACCCCAACCCTACTGCTTCTGTGTGCCCTAACACTCTCAGCACGTGTGCGGATGGGGGTGGTTGCAGTGTGGGAAGACCAGGGCCCCATGAATGCAGCCATTTCAGGGAGGATGTGACAAGGTGGAGGGAGGCAGCAGCAGCATGCCTCAACTCCTGTGCCTTTTTAGGGTTACCAAGAACTCTAGCTAACAATAGCCTGCATATTGATCTCCCCTTCTCTGTCCTGTTCTCCAAACACCCGGATGAGGTGGAAGGGAGCCAAAGCAGGAAATCAGAGGGAGAAACCCACCCACTTTTTAGTCCTCACAAGCTGGCCTGTATCTGTTTCACTCTTCAACCCTGTCCCTCAGACTCCAATGGCCAGTGACCTCCCAGTCACCAAGCCTTGCCTCAGACCTTTTGTCCTCAGCCTCACAGCCCTAGACACCTCAGAGGACCACTCCTTTCTGAAACTCTTCCCTCCCTCAGCCTGCCGTGCGCTGTCCTTTCTTTGTTCTCTAGCCTCTTGGACTCTTCTCTTTCCAGGTTCCTCTTCATAGAAATGTTCCCTAAGATTTCTGCCTTTCTCTTCTCTCCTCATTCTTCATGCTGTCTCTCTGAGCAACCCTCCGTCTCAACCATTACCCCCTTGCACACGACAGGGGATCTATCTTGCTCACTGGGATGTCTCCATTCCTGCAGTAGCTTTCCAAAGGGCCTCTTTGCCTCCTGACAGCGCCCCCCCAACCAGGACATCAAAACATTTGCTCAGCTTACCTGACCCTACCTAAACCAGAGCTCTGCCCGTATCACGTGATCTCGAGCAAACTCCTCAGCATGGATTTCCAGACTCCTGTACCATCCTGCCCAGGCCCCCTCCCAGCCCGATCCCTGCAACTCCCCTTCAAGAACGCTGGCAAGACAGCAGCCCTGGCCATCCAACAAGCACGCCACACCGGTCTTTGTTCCTGCGGCTCCCACTGCCTAGCAAGCCCTTGTCCAGAATGCCCGCACGTCCGGACCACAACCATCCACTCTGCTCCGCAGACTACCCCCAGTCCCGGGGTGAATGCCACTCCCCCCACCCCATCCCGGGGTGAGTGGTCCCTAGCCATTGACTTGCCCCTGTCCTATGGCACATATCACAGCCTGTCCAGACTGTGCTTATGTACGCTTGTGTCAGGGTTCTGCTGGATAGCAAGTACCTCAGACGTAGAAATAGTCCGTCTTTGCCTCCTCCATAGTACCCAGCACAGCACATTACACAGAGTATTTATCGAAGGAATAAACCAACTGAAGGCACAGAAAGAAGTCATTGGCCCAGCACCCTGCAGCTCCTCAAGGTAGAGACAGGATGAGAAGCCAGAACCCTGCCTCCACACTCCATCCTTCAGTGGATATGGGCAGGGAGGGGTCCTAAGCAGTTAATCCAAATATTTATTTCTTACCTACAACATACAAGCACTGTGCTAGCCCTTCAGTTAGTAAAAGAGATGGTCAAGATATTGTGCCATCCCCTGTCAAGCTCTCAAGACACTTGAAGTTTAATTGGGCAGATAAACACATAAGAAGGCAGCTAGCTGTCTTGTGGGACTTTTGGAAATCTCTCTCCTACACCTAAGACAGCAAAGCAGCATTTGGTACATCCCAAAAAAGTGAAAGAGGAGATAAGAGGTATTGCAAATAAGGACACTGATGTGTACAGAGCTCCCGAGATGTGCCAAGAGCACACAGGGCATGTCACACGTAATGCCTTATTTAGGCGAGCACATGTGGGCGAGCTCAGACTTAGAGATGTTAACTCACCACAGTCACAGCTAGTGAGAATGATGGTCTAGATTCTCGCCTGTCTTCAGTGCCTCGAGTGGGACGTTTTCCACTCCCCGGCCAGGCATAGTGGGTTCTGGAGTAGGAGAGTGCACGGGGCGGGGGGGGGGGCGGAGGTGGGCGGGGAGGCACTGGGAAGGGCTGGGGTTTGCACGATCTTTAAGAATGAGCAGGATTTCAGTCAGCAGAGAGGACATGCAAGGAAAAAATATTGAGAGTGAAAACATCATGAGAAGAAAGGCTTCAGAGCAGGCAGGAAAACATGAGGTGTGTTCAGTGCAGGGTGAGCTGTAGATCGGTTTGGATAGAACTGAAAGTTTTTGTAGAGAAGTGGCAGGAAATGATTGGGTCACAGTATGGAGAGTTTGGTCTTTATGCTATGGCAGGGAGGAGACAGTGAGGGGCCTTGAGAAGAGGAGTGACCAGATGCAATCATGGGGTCAGTGTTTGGGGGAGAGGCTGGTCTGGTGGCACATGCTGGGGACTGAGGCTCTGGGCTCTGGGAGACAAAGGGTCCAGGGCTTGGAGGTAGGAGGGCGTGGCTTCCAAACTGGTGAGAAAGGGTCACTTCTAGGCTCTCATCCTTGCTTTGGTTCCTCTGGCCCAGTTCTTCGTCACCTTTCCCTTCTCCTTAGGTGCCCAGCTGTCCGAGTCAGCCTCTCCAGGAGTTAATGTTTAGACAGCATAGGGGGAGCGTCCCTGGTGCTCCCCATCCCCGGCAGGTCTGTGCATGGGCTGGGGCAAGGGGCACTGGAGCGAGACGGAGAGAGAGGACAGGGAAGCCTATTGCACAGGCCCTGGGGAGGGAGTGGGTGGCAGGGCCGGTGTCCAGTCAGGACATCTGGCGCCAGTGACTTTGCTGGGGAAAGGAGCCAAGAACTAGTTGTCTGGGGCCTGGGACCACCTGTCTGAGAGGGGCAGGAGCCCCAGCCCCCTGTTGTGGACGCAAGTGGCCATCCTCAAGGCCTCAAGGCACTCTTGAGCCTGAAAGTATGCTCCTCCTCTCAGCAGCCTGCTGAGCCTGGGCTAACAGGCACCTGGTGTTCAGGTGAAGGGGGCAGATTTTGCCTCTCCTCTCATCCCAGCCTGATGGGGAGGCAGGCACGCAATGTGGGAAGACCGTCCAGCTGGCCTTGAGGAGACTGAGACCTTCCCAGGAGGAGGGGACTGGAGGCAGAGCAAGTCTCTCTGTAGGACGAGGCCAGAAGTGAGGTGGAGGCAGAGCATGGCAGGGAGAGAATGGTCTCCTGGCCCGGCTGTGCCCTCGGCCCACCCCACCAACACACACACACCCAGATCCCCAAGGAATGACCTTGGCGGCTACCACGCCTCAGGTCGACAGAGGGAGCCCTCACTCTACAGTCCCCGTGGTTCAGGGCTGGCTGGTGGCAGACTATTCCTGCCCAAGGTGGCTCGCCCGTCCCGCCAAGGAGGGACATTCCTATGGAGTGGGGGGCAGTGGGAATGGGCCCTGCGGGATTGGGAGAGTGCCGTCCCAGGCTCTGACTTTCCCCTAGGTCCAGGGGAACCAGAGGGTTTGGGACTAGCAGGAGGTGCTCAGAGATAGCAGAGATGAGGTGGGGCAGGCTTCTGGGCCAGAGGCGGCAGGCCCACCCAGCCCTGCCCAGGGCCTCTCCTTCCTGTCTGCCTAAAGCCACCCTCCGACCCTTCAACATAGGCCGTCCCTCCCTTGTTTCTGTCACTCTTCCCCAGCTCCACGCTGAGCTTCCTGGAATGGGGGATGCTGCCCAGTGCTGCCCTCCTCTCCCAGGCTGGCCTGCTATCTGGCCCTGAGTTAGGGTTCTCCTGAGGCCACCCCAGGAGCCAATCCCAGAGCCTTATGGAAGTGGGGAGGGGAGACTTGGTGGGGCTCAGTGGGAGGCCTGGCTTCTGAGGCTGCTCCACCCCCACCCCAGCACTGAGGCCCACCTGAGGCCCCCTCCCTGATCACCGAAGAAGAGGCTGTAGGAGCCACAGCTGCCTCCTCCCCCTCCCTGCTGCTGCCGCCGCCGCCACCACCGCGGCTGAGCCTGAGCCCGCAGGTTGTCTTGGCAACGGGAGGCGGAGAGGAGATGCGCTGAGGGATGGAGGTGTATGTCACCAAGGAAGCTGCCGTGCTCCTGCCCCACGCCCCAGGCCCTTGAAGGTACCGAGAACCCTCCCCTCCCCCTGCCCTTTCCCCTTGGCTCCCTGACTCTATCCAGCATTTTCGTTTCCTTGAGGAGAATGCTCCCCTCCTCCAGGCCCAGCGACTCCGGTCCATTCCTCATGAGCCACCTCATGCCAGGGCCCTCTCCACTGCTGTCCTTCCCGGCAATGGCTCATTCCAGCCCTACCTCTGGGGACCCCTGCCCTGGAAGACAGATCTCCTGGGGTGGGTTCTAGTGGGGGCGAGTGAGAGCCGGGGAAGAACCAAGGTAATGGGAAAAATCAGGCTCCTAAAGGGCCGAGGGTAAAAGTGGCTTGGTCTCCTAGAGGGCTGGGGGGAGGAGTGCAGGACTGAATGGGGCCAGGGCAACAAGGGTGGGGCTGAAGGGACAGAAAGCTGAGGCCGCCTGGTTGTCCAGGAAGGCCTGGATCCCCTCCTCCAAGGCTGCAACCCCCACCCCCACCCCCTGCATCAAAGGTATACCCACTCCTGTACCGTCTCCTGGCAGTTTTTTCACGGTTAAATGGATCCTGTGTTTCTTCCCCAACGTTTTCCACAGGGCCCTTTCCCCTACCCTACACATGGCAGCTAAGCCTGAATTCTTTCCACTCTTCCTCAGCACTCAGCTCTCTGCCTCCTTCATTTCTCCTTTCTTTCTGGAGCCCACCCGTCAGGATTCATTCTTCTCTGTCTTCCACTAACCCAGACACATTCCTCCCTTCCCATCCCTACCTGTCCCCTTCTGTCCTCCTCTCTTTGAGAAAGAGATCCTGGAGCACACTCTCACCTGTCCCCCTCAAGACCCACCCCCTGTGATTTTCCATTTAGATACCTTAGCACCCCCGCCCCAGATTCTGGATTTCCCCAACCACAGCTGATACCATCAGCTGACCGGCTGTGGCCAGCGGTTACCGGGGCAACAGCAAGTGCTGCCAAGGTAGGCAGGTCTGCTGGGAGGTGGAGAAGGGGCGGGAGCCAGGGCCAAGGTCAACTGGCTGGGCTCCCTCCCCGCCCCCGGGTCACAAATGAACGGGCTCTACTCTGAGCCCAGACGGAACTAAAAGGCCAATGACAGGGTCTTGGAGTGGTGGAGGTTCTCCAGACCCAGGGAAGGCACACCCTGCAGTTCTGTGCTGGGACCTGAGCAGCACCTGTCAGGCAGTTCTCTTTTGATGAAGCTGCCCGGTGAGAGATGGGGTCCTTGTCACTGCACCACCGCTGTGCTCTGTTGCAGTTCCCAGGAGATTCAGGTTACTGAAGCGCCAGCCCAGCCTCCTGCGCTGAGGACCTGGTTTCTCACATCCTCCCCTTCGCCCCTCCCCGGAAGAAGGTTAATCTGTGGGTGACCAATTCTGGCATCTATGCCCTTTGGCACCCCAGAGAGGCAGGGACCCCAGACGCCTCTGTGACTGCTGTTAGGTGATGACTAGGAGATGCAGGTGCTTGGAGAAACCAGGTGTTATCAGTAGGGCCCCCTCCCTCGAACTCAAACTCTGGCTGTTTATGAGGCTTGAGAGGCTGTGTGTGTGAGAGCGCGAGTGTGGCAGGGTTGGGGGTGTGGGAAAGGGAACAAGGCCAGCTGCTGGCCCAGTCGGCTTCCGATTCTGCTTCGTCATGATGCCGGGTTAATGCTCTTCTTGTTTGAAATGGATTGAGCTGCCTCGAGCTGAGCAGAGGTGGAACAGCAGACACACACCCTCAGGCCTGCAACGCGCTATCAGCTGGAGGTGGGGTGGGTGCAGGGGGGGAGCCAGCACCCGCCCGCCCACCAGACGCTGACTCCCAGGCTCCGGGGATCCAAGCGCCAGGCTTGTGGAGAAGCAGGTGGGGGCGAAGCAGGGCGGGGGTGAGGGGGTGGGAGCCCAGAAGGATAGGTCCCCTCCTTTGCCAGCTCACCCCCCACCCACCCCAAGCCGGCTGTTTTCCTGTTATTTGTGCTCCGGGAAAGCACGGCTGGGTTCCTGGAAGAGGAGCGGATTACCTGGGCTGAGGAACAGCGGCCATCCTGGGATCTGGGCCTGCTCCTGTCCCTGCCCCGGCCCCAGGGCCTCCGAGCATCTGGGCCACACTGTCTGGGAAGAGGTAGGTGGCAGGGTCTCCCACCTCTCTTTCGCTCTGTGGGCATTTTGGGTCATAACACCTGCCTGGGAGTGAGGCTCTGGGGGGTGGCAGGGAGCCCTGGGGAGGGTCAGCTACTGCCCCTTGTTCCATGGGAGAAAGGGCCTGGGCGGCCAGACCCTGGGAGTAGCTGGGTTTGGTCTGATCAAACCTCCTTCTGCTTTGGGGCAGAGGGGCTGGGGTGTTCCCTGCTGTCACCCCGGTGCCCCCTTTGCCTAGCTGTGCTGGTCAGAAGTCCAGATGATGGGGTTGGGGTGCTCAGGGTAGGCAGGGGAGCTGTTCCCTCTGTGCTGAATAACCAGGGGAGGGGGGAGTAAGGGGTTGCCAGTCTCCCTCCCACCACAGATACTCTTGAAGGGGGAGCAGTTCACATGGAGGCCTGACTGCTGATGGTGTAGGGTGTGCTCTTGGGGGGAGGGACCTGGGGAGCCCCCTTCTAACCCTTTGCTGGCTGGGCTGGAGTGAGGGCCAAATGCAGAATGAGATTGGGCGGCAGGGTGTGGCTGCGGGCCTGACCCCAGCACTCTCCTGGTGCCGGCTGCTCAAGTGCCGGCAGGGGCTGGGGGCTGAGCAGGCAGGAGGCCCGCAAGGATCCAGAGACACTCCCTTGCCAGCTCTGCCCCTCCCTCAGCCTGGCAGGCCCCGAGCGTCCTTTCCTGGGCAGATGCACCTGGTGTTCCCCTCCCAGGGACTGTGTGGCGGCCAGGGTGCGAGAGTCAGGGGAACAGGGCAGGTCTAGGAGAAGGGAGGCAGCTGTGCTTTGGGAATGGGGCACACGGGAAGCCCCAGGGGAGGGGTAAACGAAGGGCTCTGCGTATTGCCGTACATGTGCACAGCTTGTGGAGGGGTGTCAGCACGTGGTGTGGGGGCTATGAGCGTGGAAAACAGGTGCTTAGGGGAGGATTGGTAGGTGGGTAAGAGTAGGTGTCAATGGCACCGTGTGTCATTGTGCGGGGGCCTCGCTGGGAGAGTGGGGGCGTGCTCTTGCAAGCAGCACACATGAGTTCTGCAGCGGAGTTCCAGCGTGGGCTGGTCTGCCCATGGTGGGGTGCCTGTGCTCGTGCGTGTGAGTCCTCCCTCAGTGCTGCCAGCCTGTCCAGGGCCACGTGCTGAACACCCGGGTCAGGCTGTCCACCTAGGGGTGCAGGTCTGCAGGAATTCCTCTTTCGGAGCTCGTGTGTGTGTATAAAGACAAGAACAGGGGATGCCCCCGAATTCAGGAGGCTGCATATGGGATGCAAGACCCTTGCATCTCCCCCAGCCTTATCAATCCAGTTTGTACAAGTGACACCACAGCCTGCCAACAGGATCAGCTATAAATAGAGGCCAGAGCAGGAACGTGCTGAGGACCAAGCAAGCCTGAGGGGCTGAGGGGACACAGAAGAGGGGCCTCTTCAGAGAAGCTGGACGAATAGACGCACATTTGTGTGGGGTAGGAGGGGAGGGAGGGGCCTGGGCCCAGTCCCGCTGTCATCAGGAGCAAAGGGGGGGGACAGGGCCTTGAGTAGGTGGGTTCTCAGGCTGGCACCCAGATTCTGGGCCCACCAGCCCCTGCCTGATGCTTCACCAGTGTGAGAGGGCGCTGTATAGTGTTGGCATTAGAGGAACCCGACCCTTGTCCTAACAGAGCAGGGCTCAAAAAATGGGGGAGGAGGAGAAGGAGAAAATGAGAGATGAGGAGGGAGGGACGGCTTTGCCAGCCTTGGAAAAGGCGCAGGCCCCAGGCTTGGCCAAGGTAAGGGATGCTCTGATGAGCCACTGGCCCAGAGCAGGGAGCCCTCCTCTGCTCTCACTCGTCCTTTCTGAGCAACCATGGGTGCCCCCTCCACCCACCCACACACCCCCCCAACACATACACACAAACCCCACCCTCAGAGTATGCCTGGGGCCTCCCCCGCCACCCCGCCCTTCCCCTCTCCACCCTGGGATGCTGTTTTGGGAACTGGTGACCTAGCTGGATCCTGCCTTTATTTCTGGCATTGAGTTGTTGCCAAAGTAACTGCGGGGGTGGGGCCGGGAGGGGGAGAGGGTGAAAGGGAAACAGAGGCCAGAGGGAGGAAAGAGGAAGAAAGAAAAGGAAAAGGCAAGAAGGCAGAAAGAGTAATGGAATGGGGAGGGGAGGGCAGGGAGTCACACCAAAGAAACTGGAGGAGGAGAGGGCCCAGCCCTGCCCACCCTGAGCCCGGCCCACTTGGGCAGCTGGCCTCACTTCATAGCTGGTTCCTTGTCTGCACACCGGCCTCCAGCCTGGCTTCACCCTGCCGGGGGCACAGAGCCCGATTCCCCTAGCCGGCCTGGTCCTTGTTCACAGGCCAGGCAGCCAGCAGGATTCTAGGTGGCTCCACCGTGTCAGGTTAGCTCATGGGACCCCAAGTCCCAAGTTCAGGTCAAAGTGGGATCTTTGGGAACCTATTGAAAAGAACACTCATTGGTTTTCACCTGAGACAGGCCTGGGTAGGAATTCCAGCTTGGCTTCTATTTGGGTGGCCTTTGGCAAGTCAGTCTCTCCAAATGAGGAAGATGCTGGCTTGTGTGAAGAGTTGAGAGGATGTATGAACGTCTCTGGCACAGAGACTGGCACAGAGCAAGTGCTGGTTGGCTTAGAAGAGGAGTAGAGGCTGGACCAGAGGACCGCAGGCTCTGGTTCTGCCAGTCGAGTCTTCTTTTCTCCATGTCCAGGGAGCCACAGTCAGCTTAGCCCTACCTGGAGAAGGAGCCCACTGGGATGGGTGCGCAGCTCTTATCACCCCCAGCCCGGGAGCTGAGAGGCTCCAGTGGCTGTGGAGATGCGGGTGGGCAGTGTCAGGTGGGGCTGGGCTGGTGGCTCAGATAAGGCACATCGCACAGCTGGGAGAGGGCGGGGTGGAGATGGAAGGATG